ATAGATAGATAGATAGATAGATAGATAGATAGATAGATAGATAGAACAGAAGGAAAATTCAGTTTATTTATTTCGTTTTAGTAGTGATTGAACTCCTACTATTATTATTGTAAAATGTGAAATTAATTGTATAATATTTGGGCTCTTATGAAGGTTTTGAAATGATTTCCATAGACATACCAACACCTCCATGTGGAAGGCTAGTAGGGTCAGAAATTACAGCGGTGGGTGTGGAAACAATCTGAGAGATAGGGGCCAATTTACTAAAGGAGTGGAGCATGTTCACTTAGCATAGTGAGTTTTCCCTCAGCTAAGTGAATGTGGTGAGACGTGGTGAAAAGAATATCCGATCAGGTGGAAGAAATGTTAGAAAACAAAAATGTTTGCTTGCACAGGATTGGATGATGGAAGTCAGCAGAATGTCACCTCATTCACTAAGCTAAGGGGAAATTCCCTGGCACAGTAAAAATCCTCTTTTGATAAGTGAACAGGATTATACTCCATTAGTAAATGGTCATTATTTTTAAGTTGCGTTTTTCAACCCAGTCATATAATATCTGTATATCTATCAATATATTTATGTGTCAATGTATGACATACGGAGCAGAGATCAGACATGTTGGCTGTACATAGCCCGGCTGGCTGTGATAGTGGGTCCCATGGTGTCCACTATGTGTGCTGTGTATATGGATTGGAGCTTATTATGGGCTGTAATTACCCTTTGATGATGGAGAACATCAGAGACATTATCCGGGGACAATAGTGAGCAGAGAATTAGAGTGTCACCTCCTAATGATGTGTGTCTGCTCCAGCCCCATACTGTGCCTAATGATCTCTCCTTGTGGATTGCAGACGTCATTCTAATGTATTGTTGTCGTTCATTAAACTTCAATGATAATCTATCACTTTTGTCTATACCCGGAAACACCGAGCGCAAATCACGGAATCTACATCGAAACTCAACCCTGTACAATAATATGTATCTATAATAATACATACAGTGTGTATTCATCATCTCATATCTATCTCTCATCTTTCTATATATCCATTTCATACCAGTCTCTTCTACCAGTCTATCTATATATCTATCTATCTATCATCTATTATCTATCTATTATCTATCTATCATCTATTATCTATCTATCTATCTATTATCTATCTATCTATCTATCTATCATCTATTATCTATCTATCTATCTATCTATCTATTATCTATCTATCTATCTATCTATCTATCTATCTATTATTTATCTATCTATCTATCTATCTATCTATCTATCTATCTATCTATTATTTATCTATCTATTTATAAATCTATCTATCATATATTATCTATCTATCTATCTATCTATCTATCTATCTATCTATCTATCATCTATTATCTATCTATCTATCTATCTATCTATCTATCTATCTATTATTTATCTATCTATAAATCTATCTATCTATCATCTATCTATCTATCAATCTATCTATCTATCTTGAATTATATTGTAACTGTGATGTCTTCCTTATATTGTAAAGTGCTGCGCAAACTGTTGGCGCTATATAAATCCTGTATAATAATAATAATTATCTATCTATCTATCTATCTATCTATCTATCTATCTATCTATCTATCTATCAATATATTCTATCTATCAATATATTCTATCTATAATACATATGAAACTTATATCTCATACCTATATCTCTTTCTTATATCGTCGTGTCTGTTTAACAGCGGATGCTTTTATATAAGAAGCAACATAAATAGTGAATTATTATTATTATGTATCTGTATATCTATCAATATATTTATGTGTCAATGTATGACATACGGAGCAGAGATCAGACATGTTGGCTGTACATAGCCCGGCTGGCTGTGATAGTGGGTCCCATGGTGTCCACTATGTGTGCTGTGTATATGGATTGGAGCTTATTATGGGCTGTAATTACCCTTTGATGATGGAGAACATCAGAGACATTATCCGGGGACAATAGTGAGCAGAGAATTAGAGTGTCACCTCCTAATGATGTGTGTCTGCTCCAGCCCCATACTGTGCCTAATGATCTCTCCTTGTGGATTGCAGACGTCATTCTAATGTATTGTTGTCGTTCATTAAACTTCAATGATAATCTATCACTTTTGTCTATACCCGGAAACACCGAGCGCAAATCACGGAATCTACATCGAAACTCAACCCTGTACAATAATATGTATCTATAATAATACATACAGTGTGTATTCATCATCTCATATCTATCTCTCATCTTTCTATATATCCATTTCATACCAGTCTCTTCTACCAGTCTATCTATATATCTATCTATCTATCATCTATTATCTATCTATTATCTATCTATCATCTATTATCTATCTATCTATCTATTATCTATCTATCTATCTATCTATCATCTATTATCTATCTATCTATCTATCTATTATCTATCTATCTATCTATCTATCTATCTATCTATTATTTATCTATCTATCTATCTATCTATCTATCTATTTATCCATTCATTATCTATCTATCTATCTATCTACCTATCCATTCATTATCTATCTATCTATATATCTATCTATCTATCTATGTATTAATTATCTATCTATCTATCTATCTATCTATCTATCTATCTATTATTTATCTATCTATAAATCTATCTATCTATCATCTATCTATCTATCAATCTATCTATCTATCTTGAATTATATTGTAACCTTTCTTATATCGTCGTGTCTGTTTAACAGCGGATGCTTTTATATAAGAAGCAACATAAATAGTGAATTATTATTATTATGTACAATATACTTATCATTATAATGATATTTATTTTTAAATCATTGTTATTATTGATGATGATGATGATGATGATGATTGTTATGATTCTTAGTGGTAGTTGTATGTTAAACAAGTATAAAGACTGTAAATGGCAAATATCTTACAAATATTTCCTTGTATTTATCATTATCATCACTTTTAAAATGTGATATAAAAAACCATGAAACTAAAACAGAGAAATGTCCATCAGAATTTGGAATCAAATGATACAATTTGGGAGATTTGGGTGATTTTAGTAAAGAATTGCCCTTTGATAATATTTTCCTTTGAAGTCCAACCAAAGATGTGGATTACATGTACCTGAAGTGTGTAGCTGTGTCACCGAGTTTCTTTTGATATGAAAGGACACTATGGAGTCTACTAACACGTTTCTTGTTCTGGTCCAAATGACGTGTGAACTGGAGAGACAGCTTTGGAGGGGGGATCAAGGAGCAGAGGTTTCATTGCTGGTCTTCTTGGTGGCATCAAAGTAGAGTACCCTTTGTCCCACCACACCTTTTTGACACTTCATGTGCCCTCTCCACATAAAGAGATCAGGATTAACTATGACCATATATTTCAAGAGAAGACTCAGAAGAGCCAACATGGAAAATGACCCCGAGTTGGAGCAGGTGATCTGCAATGCTCTTTCCCTACAAGATGACTATCCTGACCTTTATCGGCCTACAAGTCATTGTGACAAGTCACTGGGCAGCCCTGAGACATTTCCTGAACTTCGCTCAGATGTGGAAATACAATTGCCTTCGAAGAACCCGAACATCCTTCAGGAAACGCTAGTGGAACTGTATTCAATTCTCGGGATCCCACACGAAGGCCAGAAGTGTAACACAATAGTTACTATCAAGCAAGAGGCGCCCACACCAGCCACATGCATCCAGGATCAGCTTCATGTCGCAAGTCAAACCACTGCCGGGTTTAAAAGTAAGTTCCATATTTTTAATGATGTGTTTAGTGAGAGTATATAAGGCTATCTAACTGTATCTCTAGATACAAACTATTCAGAATGATTTATTTAAAGGCCAACTCCAGCTTAAAGGTTTTATATTGTTTTCAATTGAGTGGAGAAGAGTTAGAGTCTATGGGGTTCATTTACTAAAGGCAAATGACCTGTTCACTTTGCAGGTGAAACTCTACTGAATTTCATAATTTCCTATTTATGTGTAAAAATGTGGAAATGGATATTCTTTCTATGTGAATTTTCACCACGTCCACTAAGCTAAGGGAAAATTCCCCTACAAAGCAAGAATTCCCTTGCAAAGTGAACAGCCTATTTGCCTTTAGTAAATCAACCCCATATCTGATTTTTTTTACTGTCATTGTATTAGTTCCTATGATGGAGATTTTCCTCACTTCCTCTCAGGACAGGAAGTGGTGAGAAGTCTCTCCAGCAGGAACACCCGTTTAGTAGAGTGTGAAGGGTTAGAACGTCTCACGTTGTAGAAAAGTCACTCGCCCTCCAATGAGAATTTCAGTCAGTGTTCTTTATTGACAAAATAATTGTCACATCGTATAGGAATGTTTCGGAACCGTATAGGTCCCTTCCTCAGGCAAAAGAAGAGAGCTATACGGTTCCAAAACGTTGCTATACGACTAGTAGATCGCAAAGCGAAAACTGGTAGATCGCGATCGACTCACTGACCTGTGTACTGTCCTCCCGTGGCGCTCGTGCGCCTGAATGTGTCAGACGCCGCAGACGGGAAGGAGGGAGGAGACTTGGGAAGCTGCTGCAGTGGAGGTAAGAAAAGACAGACAGGAGAGAGACAGCAGAGAAAGTGAGAGAAGAGACAGCAGATAGAAATAGGGGAGAAAGAGAGGAGAGAGCGTGAGGAGAGAGAGAAGAGAGGGCCGGTTGACTTCAATGCACTGCCACGCCCCCTCCCGCCCCTGAATGCAGGTGTTTTTTCGTTGGTAGATCTCATTAAGCTCGTCATTTGAAAAGTAGATCTCCAGATGGTTTTAGGCCAATGGACCCTTTAAAAATAAAGTTATATTATTATAAACATTATGCCATTTTAAAAAGTAGATATTCTGTTACTTACAAACTCATTAAACTTAATAAATCTGGTCCAAACCTAGTGATTTATAAAGCGCAGACAGTAAATAAAAATACATTTTACATATGGGCATGCACAAAATGTTAAAATCTCACAATTTAAATTTCATGACTGTCCATAAAATGTTTTAAAGGAGAATTATGGCTTTTCCCCATAGTTCTCAGAAGTGTAACGGGAGGACACAAACTAGCGTCCTCCCGTCACCCTAAGCTCAGTATACCGCGAGCTACAGCTCGCGGTATACTGAGACTCCGCAGCTGAAACGGATCCCGACAATTATGTCTGGATCCGCCCAGCTGCGTGAGTGACAGCTGGCTCTGCCTATCTAGAGGCAGAGCCAGCTGTACCTGCCCCCTCCCCCGTCCGTTGGGAGGGGGGAATCCAGTCCCTCCCCTGTCACGGCTCTCTGCTGTGCCAAGATCGAGAAGTGAGCGAACGCCGGGATGTGTTCGCTCACTTCCCGATCTACTGAGCCGACCTGTGACAGTTTCATTGTCACAGGTCGGCTAGAACTATGAGGATGAGTGAAAAGCACTCACCTCATAGTTCTCCTTTAAGCTTGTTTTAACTCTTCTTGAGTAGAACATTGCACAAAGTACCACAACTGATGCTTTTCATGGATTACCTGAGCTGGATCCCAGACCACACCCAGGTAACCCTCTAACAGAAACATGCTAAGCTCTGCAAAACATTGAAATGTTCCAAGCTTTTCTAGTCAGGCGTATTAGATGGTGATTGGTGTAATTTGAGTATTTATGAATAAGAACCCTATCTTTCTATGTTTATTAATGATTGTTTTATTTGGTACCATATGCATGCTTTTTGTGTATACCATTTAGCTTCCTTTTACTAATATCAGACTATGTTGGTCTCCTCAACAGGGCCTTTCACTGCGGAGGAACTAGAAAGTTCTAAGATGATCCGGGGTGACGTAGAAAATCAGCTTCCGTCAACTTCAAGTCAAAAGTGTAGAAAAAGAACTCTGTACAATAAGCAACAAAGCCTCTTTCTTCAAAAACAGTTCAACTTCAATCCCTATCCAGACTATGTGAGCAGATGCTGCTTCTCACAGATAACCGGGATCCCAGAGCCCAGAATACAGGTCAGAGGTCATTCTTAATCGTTATAGAAATCGTTGGAGAGCAATGATGTGTGTGTCAAGAATAAAAGCAAAATTAACAAAATAGAAACTAGATGGAAAAAAATATGGATCAAATATACAATTTGGAAACCTGGAAGTGACACTAAACTCAGGAGTTAAATCTTAAAAATCAATTCAAGATCCTTAACTATTAACAAAAATGTATCTTATTTGTGTATCACTCGGCTGTAGATCCTCCAATCATCCCTGAATTGGCGCTGGCACTGTCCTTCCTTCTGGAGGGGGGTTACTTGTGTTCCCCATGGTCCCTGTGTGTGTTGTAAAGTAGTCACCGCTCCAAGCTCGCTCCTGGGACGGACTACAATCTCAATACAAATGAGTAAACTAAACGTGAGATTGTAGTCCATCACAGGAGCGAGCTTGGAGCGGTGACTACTTTACAACACACACAGGGACCATGGGGAACAAAAGTAGCCACCCTCCAGAAGGAAGGACAGTGTCAGCATCAACTCATAGATGATTGGAGGATCTACAGCCGAGTGATACACAAATAAGATACATTATTGTTAATAGGATACTTGAATCCATTTTTATGATTTAACTCCTGAGATAGATTCACTTTAAGAAAATACAAACCAGATGGAAAAAATATGGACCAAACATACCCTTTGGAAACGTTACTTTATACATTATTGACCATACAGCCATCTCTGAATTAAAGATCTTAATTATGTGAATTTCCAGTTAGTGAAGAACAAATTATAATGAAAACGAGGACTTCTTTTAATATACTTTCAGGGTTATTCACAGAAGGGTGAAGAGTTTGGAAAAGCGAACAATCTAGGACAACATAGCCGATTTGGAAAAATTCTCCAATTCAGCTCACTTTCCAGTTCAGCTATGTTGTCCTAAATTGTTCACTTCTCCTCTCTTCTCCAAACTCTTAGCCCTGCTAAGATGAATTGCAATAATACTATTAGATATATATTTTAAAGAAAAATATCTACAGAAGTGTAAGCATGGATAATATCTAAAGATTGTTTATTTTACTATATTGATGTATATGTGGCCTAAAGGCAGTACAGCGACTAATATAAAGTTCTTCTATTTGCAGGTCTGGTTTCAGAATCGAAGAGCAAGATATCTTACGAAACATCCCAATTCCCAGGAAACTGAAAATGCCTTAACAGTGGGAAGACAGCCAACCCTTGTGTGTGCAAGATCTACTTATCCAAAAGTATTCAAAAACAGATAACAACTTCCACATAGAACCTTTTACACCCAGGATGAGATATATGAAGATCAAAGTTTCAAGATTATTTATTTCAGCACTTTTTCATCTGCATTTCAAACTACTTACCGTGATGCCCAAAACTACCCCCCTGCCCGCCGCCCTTTTCTATTTAAGTCAAAGTGAAGACTCAGCGTTCACTTTGGGTTTGGTTTTTTTTCTAATGGAAATGTTAAAATAACAATTATAAAATTTAAATAAAAATATTTTTCTTGTTTTAAATTAAAATGTGTGAATATTTTTGTATCTTTGCTTCCCTATTTTTTTACATTTATTTTATTTGTTTTCTAATTGCAATAGTAGCAAAGATCATCAGGTTGTTGTTCATCTGAAGCTTCTTTGTAATGACAATTGGTCAAAAAAATAAATAAACCAAGGCAATACAATAACTAAAATTTGTTTTCCATATAAAAAATATAAAAGGAAATAATAACTTTGTTTTTAAAATAAATGTATTTAAAGTGGAATGGAATTTAAAGAACATATATAATTTAATATTTTAAGGTTTAAACCTAACAAAACAAATACCGTATATACTCGAGTATAAGCCGTCCCAAATATAAGCCGAGGTACCTAATTTTACAAAAAAAAAATGGGAAAAAGTATTGACCTGAATATAAGCCGAGGGGGGCACTTTTCACCCAAAAAAATGGGCTGAAAATCTCGGCTTATACTCGAGTATATACGGTAGTTCTGAAATACATTATACCACTGTAAAAAAGTTTTTTTTGTTTCAAACTAGGGATGTCCCGATACTGATACCAGTATCGGTATCGGGGCTGATACAGGACATTTTTATGAGTAATTTTACTCATGAAAATGCCCTGATACATAGCACCGATGTTGTACTAGTACAAGTGATCCACCCAGTGTTCTGTCGAAAGCTTCGACCCATCGAGATATCCGAGTGGTGACGTCACATTCGGTGACCCGCCAGTAGCAGATCTAGAACAGATGGTGCTAGTGTACGTGTGCCAGAGGTTCCATTGTTAGAATCCTCATTGGGTTATCGAGCTTCCATCACTGCGCCTGCATATCATCGCAATCCCCATCAAGTTGTCCGAACCCTGTCAGTGTGCCTAAAACGCGCCCACCCAATGGCAAAACATGTAATCTCTTAGCATGTTGAGCTGCCGGATGGGCGTGCAGGTGCACCAACGCTATTTGGAGGACTTGATTCTGCTGTTTGGTGACCCTGCAGGCGCACTGACAGGGGTTGGAGAACTTGATTGCGAAGGGGCGCAGTGACGGGAGTTCGATAACCCGATGGGGATTCTGACAGTGGCACGGCTGGTGCACATGCACAAGCGCCACCTGGTCGACATTTCCTACTGGAAAGTCACCGGACATCACCAGTGAGAGACCCCGACGGGTCGGAGATTTCGACCGAACACCGGATCACTTGTACAGTAGCCTGCTCGCCAGCCCCAACCCCCCTGGTACCTACCCACCATGGTCCGCCCCTCCCCTTCCCTCAAAGGTCCATCCCCTCATGGTCACCTTCACCGCTGTGGTTTTCGGGCTCTTCTGGAGGGCCCGGGACCACAGCAATAATTTCAGGATGGAGAGCGGAGACCGGAGATCGTCCATTCTCTGCTCTGCTCTCTGATCAGTGACACAGGACTGAAATAATACAATTAAAATGTAAAAAGTAATAAAAAAGTAAAATAGATTAAAAAAAAATACAAAATAAAATAAAAAAAAGTGATAAGGTAAAAAAAGTGATAAAAAAGGTGAAAGAAATGCAAAATAATAAATAAAAATAAAAAATAATAATAAAAAAAATCAAAGTGCTTAAAAAGGTAAAAAAAATAATAAAATAAATACAAATCAAAATTAAAACCAACTCTGCCTTCTGCGTGCAAATAAACGCACGCGTAGGGCATTGTGTGTGTGTGTTTGCGCCGAGTGCTGCCCTCATTCCACTGTGTGTCATATTGTTGTAGTGGGGCAGCAACACTCTCTAACACGCACAATGCACATTAAAGGGTAAGTTCACTTTCCCAAGTCATTTGGGGAATTGGAATTACCCGCCTAAAGCTGGCCAACTCCCCTATACTCACCTTTTGGTGAATGGTCCTTCCCCTCCACCAATACCTGTACCTCGGTGAGTTCCTGACGGAAAGTACCTATGCTGCGTCTTGAAAAAATTGTATCGGACATCCTTATTTCAAACCCATTATGTTATTTTGGTCACAAATTTAAAAAAATAGAGACACATTTAAAGAAGAACAGTTCATTTAAAATGTATAGATCTATGTTATGCGTAGAGGAGTAATAAAAGGTATCAAATACAAAAAAGTCAAACCGTATTAAAAAAATTGTTTTATTTAAAAAAGAATAAAATTATTAGAACATTTCGAAACAAATATAATGATTTAATATCAGCAATTACTTTGTATTATTTTATATTAGTAATGACGTTTATTTTAGCATGTGGAGATAAGGAAATAAACATTATTTCACAGTTTACAAAAACAATATTATCCTGTAGAAGGCGTGATAAGGTGTGCCACGGATCTCAGCTCCCAGTAGCCGCTTCTCTACACCAGAACCTCAAAGAGACAACGGGGTTTTATTTGTACCCCAATACACATCCTGGTCCCTTCAGAAACGGGTCAGAAGCACGCATAATACAAGCAAAGTAAACAGAAGTCGCCTTAAAAATGAACTTTAGGCAGATACAGAAAATACTGTTTATCAAAGTGAAGTATTCACATAAAACATTCACAAAAAAATATTGTTAAAAATACAGTTTCTACAAGTACCTGAATATGTGGTTAGCTTCCTGTAATGCTGTGGAAGAGGGTCTATAGAGAGAGAGTCTACACCCAATTGGACTTTGCTAAAGCACATGTGCTTTCAAATGAAAATACTGACAGGGACAGAGAGTAGAGCGAGCAGAAGGATGACATCATCACTTTGCTGCTGCTTATTCAATGTTCAACCAGCAAGCTAGAGTGTGTTAAAATGGCTGCCAGGTTCACTTCCAAAGAAATACAATCTTGGTAGACAGGGTTGTCCCTGAGGTATTCGCCACCTGAGGTGATGTTGGTTCCTGGAAGGGGGGGAGGCGGGGGTGGGGCGTCTCTGGCTGGGAAGGGTCACTAGGTCATTTGTCGTTTAGGAGGAGGCGGACATTCGGCAAGTCGGAGTGTCCCGCTCAGCTCCTGGCAATCTGTGAGCTGAGCTGGAAGCCAGACAGAGCGTCACAGGTTGCAAAGTTAGCAATCTGGTACACTGTGGCCGCCCTCCACCACCACCGGGCTGCCCCCCAATCAGATGCCACCTGAGGTAACCGCCTCATTATAAGGATGGTCCTGTTGAGTCGTGGTCCTCCTAGATGCTTTCTAACTCATCATTGGGTCAAATACTGATTGGGTACCATGAGGTACCATGAGGTTACCTGTTGCATTAATATCAATACAGACACAAATATAACCACTAAGCACCAAGCGATCTGATGATCCAATATAGTGGAATGTGCGACGGTGTGCTGGCACAGTCATTTCCTTTATATGAAAAACAATTTCACAATTCCATTTTACAAATAACTCTCAACCTAGACATACACGTAGAAGATGTCCTATCAGACTTTGTAAATCACCCATAATGAGACTACAAGACTCCCCCAATCATGAGCTATATCTTTTCCTAAATTACAACCTTACCATAATGGGAAGGACAAACACTAAAGCAGCAGAATCTCTAGTGTGAGCCCAGGTTCAGACCCAGCCTGGTTCAAACCCGAACTCCTACAAACAAGGAAGTGTCATGGGCACTTCCACCCAATCAGCCGCAGGCATTTACAGCCCTGAAGCTGCATGTAAAAAAACAGGGCTGGAAGCTTGTGCTCACATAATTTACCTCATATAGTCATATTTGTCAGGGTCGTCCCTATAAAGTACTGTGGAACCAGCACAGGATAATCTTCCAAAGAAATTCAAACTTTATTCCACATGCATCTGTACAAAGCACAACCGCTGGCGCGTTTCTGCCTTACTCGGCCATAGTCAGCTATGACTTAGGCTGAATAAGGCAGAAACGCATCAGCGGTTGTGCTTTGTATAGATCGTATATATCGTGTGCTGGTTCCACAGTCTTTGAGCCTATTACTCCGGAAGAGAGTTATCCGTGCACCCAATGTGGATTGCGGGGACGCATGATAGGGGCGAGCTGTGCACTTCATGTTCTCGTCCCTATGTAGAGGCAGCATGAGGCTGTTGCCTCAGGCAGCATCTCTCTGGGTCATGTGGGGGGCAGCAGGCAGAGCGGCATGGCCGCTCCACGTTTAATGTTTGCAGTACCTGCTGCCCTCTTTCCGGCCAGAGCATCACAGGTTGCTAAGAGGTGTTTGGGGAGAGGTGTAAGGGCCATGCACATCTCTCTGCCCAGCTTTTAGCAACCTGTGATGCTCTGGACAGCATCCTAAACCCTTAGGTGGCAAAAATGCTATGGACACCACTGATATTTGGAAAATATAGACGAGTAGCCATTTAAGATCAATTGCATCACTGCATCCCACACCTTTAGCGCCTGACTGTAAGGAAAGGAATGAGCTTCCTTTAGTGTTTAGGAAGAGCTTCTTCCAGGTTTGGAGGAACTCAAAATTGGACCGGGTTTGAACATGAGCTCATCTCAACTCGGGATTCAAGGTGCAGCCTGACACTAGTGGTTGTTAAACTTTGCCAGTCAATAGTAGATGTGTGAACTTTGGCCTACAGTAACACTGCTCATGTTAGTGATAACTCATAAATCATTCAACAAGGGAATATGAAAGTGCTTGAGGACCGCTGGTCATTGTTGGAGAATATTGAACTTTAGTCAGGCTTCAGGCCTGGTGGTTATGGTCTTGTTCACCCTTAGTTCCTCCAATCTTGTAGCGAGTTTGTAAACACAAATGTTTGGACTGTGTATGAAATGTATCATTTGTTATCTGGGAACAAGCAAGAGAGACTTTGGAAGCCTCTCGGTTGTCTTGCTCCAAGTGAGATTGTTATGGCTAAGCAGTAAGACTGTCTTCTGGAACTTCCCAGGAGTTTGGAAGTCCAAAGGGTTTCCTTTTGCTGTTAAAGTGGCCCCTATATACGTTCTAGACCTGGATTATATTTTCACAGCATCTCAAACTCCTCTCTGTTCAAGATCCGAAACATAAGTCTTCGGTATAGTAAAGGGTCAATATTACGGTGGTCCTGAGTAGCTTCAAATATTTTGACAAGCACAGGGGCCAATGGCTCAAATCCTGTTGTATCTGCAAGCCATTGGTTGTACTCCCACTGGTTTGCTGCAAGGCGGTGAAGATATTTCAAGGGTATTCCAGAATTCCGGGTTTTTACGACCTCTTCGCGGGATTCTAAGAGCATTTCTTCTGGAGGAGGCAGCTGGCATTTACCCTCCAGGACAGACAGAAAAAACTGAACCTGGCAATGAAATAATGGGAAAGGGATCACAATTTTGCAAGCTCCGATGAAGCCCAGAGTAGGGTAGCGGGCATGAAAGAGGTGCTTGTAGAGCGGAGGGAGGTGACCTTGTTCCACATCCGTTCCCACAATGGCTTCATCCTCCAACAAGTTCACTCTAGGAAGGTCTGATTCCACATTTAGTGTTTCATTCAGCTGAGGGTTTTCTTTTTTCAGTTCATCCACATTTGTTGGCATCAAGTTCTCTCTCTGGTCCATCTTTTGGTTGACCATCACTCCACTGTCAGTCAACAAAAATGGGTAGTGATATTTATACCCGGTACAAAAAAGCATAGCGTCTGCCATGATTTCTGTCCCGTCTTCACAAATCAGAGTAGTGGAAGTAGCCCGGACCACTGGAGGCACGAATGAGAGGTTCTCTGGTGACTTCCACTGTGAAGGAGGACCTCGGTGACTCAGAATGACTTGCTTAGCATGTGGGGATAAATCCAGGGCAATATCAACTCCAGAAGGTCCTGCACCCAGGAGGACAACTGACCGGGAAGAGAAGGCCTCTGGGTAGCGGAAATAATGGCTGTGGAGCACTTGACCTGGAAAAGGTATGGAAACGACTTAGTGAATGGCCTCGTAAAGTAACACCTCACTTTCATACACAATTGATGGAGCACACATAATTGCTATACAAGGAAGTCCGTTATTTCATTTTATTATAATCATATTTTCATTTTAATGTTTTAACAGATCGGATAAGAAAATAAAAAATCAGATGGGAATTTTTTATTTTTGGGAATTATTGCCAAAGAAGACGCAGACAGAAACACATTTCTAGTGAGGGTAAGAATTAGAACTTCCAGTGAATGTTTTTCGTTGCTCTCTGTGCCCTCCTGCCCTGGTGACACCTATGCCTCCCACCCTGTTTCTTGTATGGATGGGGGGGTCATGGGGACAGGAAGTAAGAGAAGATCTCCCCAATGAGGATACACACAGCAATAAAAACATTTTCAAAATGCTAAATCTTAACCATCCCATCAAATTCTTCAAAAATATAAGTTTTGGCTATAGTTGTGTTTTAATGAAAAAGGACACGTCTCTGTATCCACAGGGCAAGGGTCAGCCCCTGACGTCTTTTGGATACTTCAACAGTGAGATCTCCCTTTGTGTGTTCCAGCTCCTCCAGTTACACCCTCCATAGTATAAGTAAAAATACAGCAATTGTAATGGGCCCAGTGGCTGTGCAGACCAGGGATCTCAGCACAGGGATGGTGTGACCCCCCCATAATGGGCACAGCAAGGTTATAGACCCGGGAACTCAGTTCATGGTTGGTGGGAACCCCTCATAATGGACACAGCAGGTATATAGACCCAGAAAGTCAGCACGGGGCTGGTGGGAACCCCTCATAATGGGCACAGCAGCTATACAGACCTGGGACTCAGAGAAGGGATGGTGGGAACCCCTTATAATGGGCACAGCAGGTATACAGACCTTCGACTCAGAGAAGGGATGGTGGGAACCCCTCATAATAGACACAGCAGGTATATAGACCCAGAAACTCAGCACAGGGCTGGTGGGGACCCCTCATAACGGGCACAGCAGGTATACAGACCTGGGACTAAGAGAAGTGATGGTGGGAACCCCTTATAATGGACACAGCAGGTATATAGACCTGGAAACTCAGTGCATGGATGTTGGGAACTCCTCATAATAGGTACAGCAGGTTACAGACCCAGGAACTCAACAAAGGGATGGTGGGAGTCCCTCACCATGAGCACAGCAGGTGTATAGACCCAGGAACTCAGTGCAAGGAATGTTGGGAACCCCTCCTAAAGGGCACAGCAGGTGTACAGCTCTGGGAGCTCAGTGCAGAGATGGTGGGACCCCTCATAAGGGGCACAGCAGGTCTGCAGACCCAGAAATAATGGAGTTATGGTTACTGTGGGGTTCTGCTATCAACTTTATCAGAGCAACCATCACTGGAACTTGCTTTTCTCACCTTGAAACTCCTCCAATCCTTCAATGTGCGGCATGTATGGATGGGAGTAGTGTCTATGGAAAAAAAGAAACGTAGGTATCAGGTTTGTAGAGTGATACCTTTTTTGTCAATTTTGGATAGAGTAGGGAATGGGTAAAGCTCCTGTCACATTATTTTTTGTTTTGCAGGAAGTGAGAAGAGATCTATATAAAAAAGTGAAGGGAAGTCCACTCTTAGACAGTTGTCACTAGACCAGGTGTCCCCATTGGAGAATTTCCCCTCATTTCCTGTTCCTTTTAGAACAAAAATGAGGAGAAGGGAGGAATGCAGACATGGGTTGGGGCATTAAGAGGACATCTGTTTCTTACCCGACACACACCATGATGGCATCAAACCTCTCTGTCACAGGATCACCGTTGCCCTGAGTTTGGGAAGTCACATCCCAGGAAACCTCTGCGTTCTTCCTTTCCCCCAGTACAGGAGTGATGGACACCACCCAGGTATTAAACTGCAAAACACAAAAGGACAGAGACTTAAAGCATATCTAAGACTAACATTATAATGCCGTAGATGTAATGACTGCATTCGTTTTTTTTCTGGCTTTTTTTTTCTGGCTTTTTTTTAGTACTGGTGATCATGCCAGGAAAACACTTCCTGTTCCAGGGTGACAACATTCATTAACTCAACTTTAGCTATAGAGGAGCAGTGTGCTGCTTTCCTTTCTGCATTTCATGCAGCCTCTTTCAGCCACTTCCTCCAAGTGATAACTGTGCACCATGCCTGGGCAATGTGTGTTAGCATGGCAGCTTTTAGTGCTGGTTAGGGATACATAGGACACCGTGACTACGCAGGAGCACAAGTGTTGTCACCCCATAACAGTAAGTGCCTGAACAAGGATCGCGATGGCAGGATCGCCAGGTAATATATTATCATTCAAAAAGATCTTATATGACTTTTAAAACGACATTAATGTGTTAAAGCTTAAAGGAGAATTATGAGGTGAGTGCTTTTCACTCACCTCATAGTTCTAGCCGACCTGTGACAATGAGACAGTCACAGGTCGGCTCAGTAGATGGGGAGGTGAGCGAACACATACCGGCGTTCGCTCACCTCTCAGAGAGCCTTGACAGGGGAGAGGCTGGATTCCCCCCTCCGATCTGCCAGCGCTGACTGGCGGAACGGACGGGGGAGGGGGCGGTTACAGCTGGCTCTGCCTCTAGATAGGCAGAGCCAGCTGTCACTCACACAGCTGGGCGGATCCAGACATAATTGTCGGAATCCACTTCAGCTGCGGTGTCTCAGTATATAGAGAGCTGTAGCTCGCGGTATACTGAGCTTAGGGTGACGGGAGGACGCTAGTTTGTGTCCTCCCGTTACCCTAAGGAGAACTATGGGGAAAAGCCTTAACCACATAGTTCTCCTTTAAATGTAATTTGGGTGATTGTGTTCAGATCTACTTTAAAGTGTAAGTTCACCTTTCCACAAAATGTGGAAAAAAAATGTACTTACTCACAGCAGCACACCTCCACACAGAGACACAGAATAAGGCGTGGTCAGTCAGTAATGGTGAAAAGGTCAGCTGCAGGGAGAGCACCTCCTGTTCTGGAGACCAATGTAATATATTGGAACTCCCATATCTTTGTGTCCCCGTAACAATGGTCACCAGGACAAACGGAGAGGATAACAATTCCCCCCACACACAGCAATAAAAACTGAGAGGGCTTCTAACCCTTACCCACTCCACCAAAAAGAAAATCCAGAGCTCCAGATTTATAAGGGGATGAAAATGTTAAAAGTCTAATGGGTTCATTTATAAATAGGTAGAGGAAACCCATACACTGGTGCTATCTAAGGGGCCTTAGTGTCATGTGATGGGCATCCACCCGGCGTATAACTGAGCCCCTTGTGTTCAATGCCCGTCCAATATATGCAAGTTCTTTCTTTACAGGGCTGGGAAATATTAGTCACGTGTCACCCCTTTCTCACCTTGATGTGGGGTCGGATGGAGAACCTGTCTGCATAATCCTCCAGGTATTTCAAGACTTCGGAGTGGTGGATGAAGGAGGGCAGGGATGGGTCAAAAGCAAAATCAGGGAACTCCATGACCTCTTTAGGGAGATTGGTTCTGTAAGTGAAAACAGATTGAGAATACAGATTAAGGATCCGTCCGTGGAAATCACATGTTTCAGTGGTGGGTTATATGATAGATTTCAGGGACTCTCTAATGTAGCTCTAGGTATAAAAATATGTAGGTTGTCTACATACATAGCAATGCTGAATGTAATGTATTACTGTATTATGGCCACTGGATGGAGCCGAGGAGCATAGGAAATAATATTTACTAGCTCCATCTAGTGGCCATGTTGCAGTATTACATTACAAGGGAAATCAATACTCCTCAGCTCCATCTAGTGGTCATATTGCTGTATTACATTACAAGTGAAATCAATACTCAGTTCCATCTAGTGGTCATATTGCAGTATTACATTACAAGGGAAATCAATACTCAGCTCCATCTAGTGGCCATATTGCAGTATTACATTATAAAGGAAATAAATACTTCTCAGCTCCATCTAGTGGCCATATTGCAGTATTACATCACAAGGGAAATAAATACACCTCGGCTCCATATTGCAGTATTACATTATAAAGGAAATAAATACTTCTCAGCTCCATCTAGAGGCCATATTGCAGTATTACATCACAAGGGAAATACAGTAAATAAACCTCAGCTCCATCTAGTGGCCATATTGCAGTATTACGTTATAAAGGAAATAAATACTTCTCAACTCCATCTAATGGCCATATTGCAGTATTACACAACAAGGGAAATAAATACTCCTCCGCTCCATCTAGTGGTCATATTGCAGTAGCACATTACCTTCAACCTAAAAAGAAAATAATATAATACTGGCATATGGTCACTAGATGGAGCTGTGGATCATTTATTTCCCTTGTAATGTAATACTGCAATATGGTCACTAGATGGAGCTGAAACGTCACAAACAAGATACATTTGAATTTCACTCTGATAGTTAAAGAAAGATCATGCACGACAATCACACAATGGTTCCTAGTTAACACAAAAAAAATTGCAGGGCCAATTGCATTAACAAATTCTTTATAAATAGACCCATTAGTGTTGAAAGTTAAAGTGGAACTGTCAGTAGATTTACAAGTTTGCAGTTGGGGGTTGAAGGTTGAGGAGGCTGTAATAGGGTGCAGAGTGCTGCCAATCACTGAGGTCCCATTAGTGCTCCCCCTGGTGGTGATCCTGCCCAATAACCACTGACTGAACATCACCAATGTACATTATAAGCCCACATTCAGCAGTCAGATTTCCTCCTCACACCTTTCTAATCTCTGTCTTGCATCCGTCCTTCTATTACACTTTCCAAGGGTAGTTTTTAAGTTTCCCCGGAGTTCATTCAAGTGACTTCACCTGGGCTGAGAGGATGTTATCAGTCTGCTGCAGGCAGAATGAAGCATTTCCTCAGTCTTCTCTCTTTTGTATTTGTGACTTTATAGCAAGTCACAAGGCGAGAGGCTGCAGCAGGGGCTGATCTGTGTCAGACATATGTGAAACACAGCCAGGAACTGCAGAGGCACCAGGATTTACAGGACTGTGTCATCTCTGAGCCAGCATCTCAGTCCAGGAAGTAGATGATGACCTTGAATGATGCCTGAATAGAGATGGAGCAGATGAAGGCATTGTCAGGGGGAGTATGGTGATCTGTGTGAGAGGTTATACATGCCTGATGTGTTACACCAACATATTGTTTAGCATGCATGAGCTTACTGTAAAAAAATGACAGGTCCACTTTATGCTTTATTGCCAAACTCAGTGACCAGGGTGAAAAGTTCATAGCCATGCCTGGGACTATATCATTATAAATGACACAGCTGAGCAGGAGGAATCTAACTTACGGTACATACATCCTCTATGGCAGCGGTAGGCAACCTCGGCGCTCAAGCTGTGCTGAAACTACAAATCCCATCACCCCTTTGCCCCTGGGAGTCATGTCTGTGGCTGTCAGAGTCTTGCAATGCCTCATGGGACTTGTAGTTCCACAACAGACGGAGGGCCTGAGGTTGCTCCATGGGAACTTACTGCAAGTCTCTGTACATGCTGGAGTGGGTGGGCGTGCCGGCGTCCGCCTCTTCCGTGTACAGCCAGGTTCCCCCCACTTGTCCCATCTTCTCAAACACGACGGGGGGTTGAAAGGCCGAAGGGCGGGAGAGGATGTGACGGGCGCTGCAGAGCCCCGCCCCCCCAGCACCGATCACCGCCACCCGCAACCTGCCAGCCGCCATGTTGGACGGTTTGCTGTTGGGAAAAACAGAAACAGAAATGAATATACAAAAGGCAAATAAGAAATCACGTCAGGGAACCTGACAAAACAGCAGAAAGGCATCATGGCACACTCACAAACCAGCATTGCCTGGTCTGTCCTCTTTCTCCTCCCCCCCCCGCCGGGCCCCACCTCCTCCTCCGCTGCCGCCGCCGGGCCCCAACCTCCTCCACCGCAGCTGCTGCCTGTCACTGACTCAGTAGCGGCTGTGAGGAGGAACGCGGCGCTGCACACATCACTGACAGGTTGACAGCGATCTGAACAGCGGCGTGTTCCTCCTCACAGCCGCTACTGAGTCAGTGACAGCCAGCAGCCTGCAATGCCATAGCGACCCAGGCGGCCCACACGGCATCAGGGGGACCCTTTTGTCCCGTTCCCCATAGCCGCCGTCTGGGTTGCTATGGCGATAGTTCCGCCACTGTATACTAACGCAAGCACGTGTTGGGTGCCCCCTTATACATGAACGTTGATTGCGTCACACATGTTAGGTATCGCTACGTGCACCAGAGCAAGATCAATAATTCTAGGGCCAATATTCAAGGGTAACTCTAAACTGATGACCTGTACGGGCTTTTGCCTATGGACAATTTGGTGTACCGTATTTTTTTTCTGCACCGTTTCACGGGCGCACACAATTTTTAAGCTTGGCATTTTGGATATCTATTTACTCGGCACAACCTCATCTTTTACATCTTATAAAGAAAATGGGTTTTATATTTGTTTTTGTGCACAAAAAATAACATAAGTACCGTATTTTGCGGTCCATAAGACGCACCGGACCATAGGACGCAGGGAGGTCCGGCGCGCCTTATGGAGCACTCAACAGACCGTGGCTTCTGTCACAGCTTCTATGACAGAAGCTGTGACAGAAGCTGCAGTTAGTGACCGCTGAGACAGGTGGCGCTGTGATTACACGCCACGGTCTCAGTGATCACACAGAGCACCTCCGTTCTTCGTCTGCTCTATGGTGATCTCGATCGTCGCCGCTGCTCGGTTTTAATACGAGTGATCTCATTAGATCACTCGTATTAAACGGGCAGGGGCTCCTCCTCCTCGCCCGGCGCCCGAAACTGCATGTCTCGGGCGTCGGGATTCGCTCCATAAGACGCGGGCACATTTCCCCCCTCCTTTTGGGGGGAAAAAAGTGCGTCTTATGGAGCGGAAAAATATGGTATCTTTTTTACTGAAATTTTGGGTTTGATAAAGAGTTGCGCTGATATCGTGCGACATAAAAATTTACAACTGCCGCCATTTGGTTCTACAGAGTCCGTGCTTTCAGGAAATATATAACTCTGGGGGCGGTTTGAGTAATTTTCAGGCCTGAAATGTGGACCGTAATGTATGCAAAAAAATAAATAAATGCAAAAATAGCAGCAAAAGGGTTAAAGGAAGTCTCCCTGATCTCGCCATGAATAAAAAATGTTTCCACTTTAAGTAGCGGCACTCAAGCTGCTAATATGTAGCAATGCTCGGAGCACACCACGGGATGTGTTACTACGGGAAGGCAGTTTCATTCAAATGTAACATTTTCAAGTTGGACTATTTTCTGATTGGCTCTTGTGGAGATTCGTCCCCCACCCCCGGATTGGAGCAGATATATTACCCCGCAGGTGTCCATCTGAAAGCTATCAGTTTTCCCATCATAGGAGCTGCTTGTACTTACCATTAAAACGTAGAACCTCCTACGGGACGATCCCAGATACAGACTGACTCCCGGATACTTTGCTGCTCTCTAAATCCGCCGTCTCCTTTACGCTGGGCGGCTGTAAAGAGTGAACTTTGTGCCTCCGAGGTGATTGATTGGTAACATTTTATCTGTTATTGACAGAATTTAGCACTGAAAGAGCAGCCATGCACAGCCAAGGGTCACCCACACTGCCGGGGCCAAAGGATGCCAAAGTGCGCACCCCACCCACCCCTCGCCACTTCTTTAAATCAGCGCTACCAAAAACCGGACGCAAATATACAAAATGGTTAAAAAAGGGAATAAAGTAATATTAGACTCTTAAAGAAGGGATTTTCCTCCCTTTTGAGAGATTTTCTTTTACTTCCTGTTGTATCTCTGAGACAGGAAGTGAAGGGAAAGCTCCCAACAAGACACAGAGAGCAAAAAGAGTCCTGGCAGGGGATCCAACCCAACCCGAGTTTATTCAGACGTTGTGGCTTTAGATAGAGTTTAATTAAAAGTGTTGGAAAGGGTAGAAACTGTTACCTCATTATAATACACCAACAATGAAACAATTCACTGTTACATTATGTTTACTCAATCAGTGGCGGCGCGCTTTACACCACGGCATCCCACGCTTTGCATTGCACTTGGTGATGTAAGGCTTGGATGCAGCTGCTCGGCCATGGAAACCCATTCCATGAAGCTCTCTACGCACTGTTGTTGTGCCAATCTGAAGGCCACACGAAGTTTGGAGGTCTGTAGCTATTGACTCTGCAGACAGTTGGCGACTTCTGCGCACTTCAGCATGCGCTGACCCCGCTCTGTCATTTTATGTGGCCTACCACTTCGTGGCTGAGTTGCTGTTGTTCCCAGTTGCTTCCACTTTGTTATAATACCACCAACAGGTGACCGCGCAATATTTAGTAGCAAGGAAATTTCACGGAACACCTGAAACCAATGATTTGGAGGGGCGTCCCAATACTTTTGGCAATATAGTGTATGTTTAAGTTAATTTTAGCGCACAAAGACACAATATAATACCCAAGTTTTTATAAAATATAAAAGAAGAGGTTGTGCGGAGTAAATAAATACCCAACATGCCGCGCTTAAAAATTGTCTGTGCCTGTGAAACAGCGAAAAAAATACAGTAAACCAAATTGTCCATAAGCGATGCTTTAAAAGCCCGTACAGGTCAAGAGACACGTAAGCTGACCAAAAAATGTATTTTGTTTTGTTTTGGATGTTTCGTTATTTCGTTTTTCGGGATTCGGGTCTGAAAGTCAATTCATTTCGACATTCGGATTTGGATGAATCAGAATTTTTTGTTAATTTCGGATGAGTTAAATGATTAGGAACGGAAATTAGTTGCAGAGAAGTGACATTAAATGTTTACTTTGTGCGGTCCCCCGACAATTCATAGCGGACCCTTTAGGCTCACAAACCAGGACATTCAAAGCAAGATGTAGAATGGTGGTCTGTGGGCGAGTCAAGAGCCCCCCCTTATCCATGAAGGATCAGGACGTGTCCAGCTTTAGCCCAGTGGAGTTCATGCAGCTGTCCCTGGGGGGACAGCAGCCAGTGCCTTCCAAGAAGTCATCCAGAGTATGACCGATTATTTAAAATTCACCCCCTAATATCTCACTTTAACAAATCGTTTTCAAGACTTTAGCAAAAAATATTTGTCTTGACGAGTCCCTCATGAAGTACAAGGGGCGCCTGCAGGGGTGTCCCGAGGCTGGGTGAAACCCAGACCGGAGACCGGGTGACACCCCACCATGACGCCATTGCGCATGACGTTGCCACGTGTGTGCGCGATTATGCATGTGCGGAGGTCTTATTTATGCTTGCCGGTGGCCATCTTGGTGATGGATGCCGGCAGAGAGAGGAAGGGATGTTCATCTCCTACTCTCTCCTGACACTTTCGGGCACTTTTCATAGGGGGGTGACACCAAAATGACTGTCAGTCATTTTGGTGTCACCCCTCCAATGGTGGCACCCCCCTTGTGACGCCACTGGGCGCCTGAGGTTCAAGCAGTTTATTCCATCTAAGAGATCAGACAATGCCTTAGATGTTGACGCAGCACAATGTATGCCCCATGGGATACCCCAGGAGCTTCTACATTCACAAATAGTTGGCCTTTGTGGGGTAAATTTAACTGTCAAACTGCTAAGGTGCCCCAAAGAAGACAAAGATCCATCACATCCATCTATGAAACTTCACACCTGAAAAGCTGAAATGGCCAGGTGTCTGTGTGGCTGGCACACATTGGGGTTATTGTGTTACTCAGAGGATGTAGCTGAACACAATTTGGGGTTTCGTACAGACGTAGCACACATCAGGTTTACAAGATACATGTTACAAAAATCTCCAACCATGTAAGGGGGAAAGTCTACACTGACCACCCATGTAAGGGGGAAAGTCTACACTGAGCACCCATGTAAGGGGGAACGTCTACACTGAGCACCCATGTAAGGGGGAACGTCTACACTGAGCACCCATGTAAGGGGGAAAGTCTACACTGACCACCCATGTAAGGGGGAAAGTCTACACTGACCACCCATGTAAGGGGGAACGTCTACACTGAGCACCCATGTAATGGGGAACGCCTACACTGACCACCCATGTAAGGGGGAACGTCTACACTGAGCACCCATGTAATGGGGAACGCCTACACTGACCACCCATGTAAGGGGGAACGTCTACACTGAGCACCCATGTAAGGGGGGACCTCTACACTGACCACCCATGTAAGGGGGAACGTCTACACTGACCACCCATGTAAGGGGGAACGTCTACACTGAGCACCCATGTAAGGGGGAACGTCTACACTGACCACCAAAATACTTTTTAGAGGGGGTGACACCAAAATGACTGTCAGTCATTTTGGTGTCACCCCTCCAATGGTGTCACTCGGGTGCAGGCCACACCCCGCGTGACGCCACTGTGTACAGCAATGGAGAATGGGTACCAGCAATAGAGGACTACGGATCCCACCAATCAATGATTATACAGCAATTATACAGGGCTCTGCAGGTGGGTTCCAGGCTGAATGGGTGGGTGCCGTTTTTTGGGGCTGTAGAGGAAGGTGTGGGGCTGTCCTGTGCTGTGTAGGCGCCAGGAGGTAGGTGGGGGCAATGTATGGCCGGACCGGCACAGTCAAAGACAGCTGCCTGAGGTCCCCAGCAAGTGCGGGACCTCAAGCAGCCTAACTTGTTTAGAAATTTAAAGGGCCGGTATCGGCTTTTAGAATCGGGGCATTTGCACGAAATAAAAAAAAAAAAAAAGCAACATATCGGCCCCCGATACCGAAGCTAGTATTGGTATCGGGACATCCCTACTATCCACAATGCAATACCATCACATCAGGGAGGCTTCTGATCAGCCCCACGTTCATTCTGCAGCAGGATAATGACACCAATAATGCAGCCAAACTACAAAGATATCGGCCCCCGATACCGAAGCTAGTATTGGTATCGGGACATCCCTACTATCCACAATGCAATACCATCACATCAGGGAGGCTTCTGATCAGCCCCACGTTCATTCTGCAGCAGGATAATGACACCAATAATGCAGCCAAACTACAAAGAGCGGCGCGCTGTACGAGATTTACATCAATTAACTAAACACTCTGACCAGCAAAGGAACATGGGATACAATAACACACCAGGGGTAGCCAACCTCGGCACTCCAGCTGTTGTGGAACTACAAGTCCCATGAGGCATTGCAAGACTGTGACAGCAACAGATATGGCTCCCAGAGGCAGAGACATGATGGTATATGTAGTTTCAGCACAGCTGGAGTGCCAAAGTTGACCGGCCCTGACAAGAACTTGTTGCAAGAACTCTCACAACTTATTGAATGGACTTTGTAAACTGTGGTATGAAAATTAAATAGAAAAGTTACCGATTCACCCGGAAGAAAAACTCTGTTCCCATAGTGGGAACAAGTCAGACGCACCTGAAACCCATCCCGGGCGGTGATCTCTGGACTGGAAGGGGAAGGAATCTTCACGGTGCAGTTGAGAAGAGCTGGCATGACTGCTGTACACAGCAGGATCACATGCCGGCTTCCTATTGGCTGCAGGCAGGACAGGAAGTCAGCCCTCCTGCCGCAAGGCACTCTGGGAGGTGTAGTCCAGGGGTCAGCCTGAAGCATGTAAACTACACTGGCCGTTTAAATCTTAAAGGGACCTAAAGCTCACCACACGTTACAATGTGACTGGACAATTTCTTTTCGATCTACCAACAACTATGTAGTGCAAGGGCCGGTCTCATTGGATACAGACTGAATAAGTCGCTCCTCATACAGATTGATTGAATCTTGAAGTTGGTACTCATATTACATAGTTTTGGTAACACTAAGGCCTCATTCACACTATAATCGGCCGCCACGTACAGCTCCGTGCTGCGTGCTCGACCGTATCGGGCAGCTCCCGGGAAGGACAGGTGCTGCGTGTGATTAGTAAGCAGCCCCTGTCCTTCTCTATAGGAGTACGTGGCCATACGCCCCCCCTACGCTCACCAACCCTGCACGTCCGTATGGGTGCGGGTGAGCGTACTCGTACTCTGACAGGATGAATCCTGTCTGCGTCTGAGCCGGGACACCCGCACCCATACAGACCTGCACTTGAGGTGAGCGCAGGGGAGCGTATGGCCACGTACTCCTATAGAGAAGGACAGGGGCTGCGTACTAATCACACGCAGCACCTGTCCTTCCCGGGAGCTGCTCGGTACGTCTGTGCACGCAACATGGAGCTGTACGTGGTGGCCGATTACAGCGTGAATGAGGGCTAAGGCTCATCGTACATGTTACAATCTGACCGTACAATCTTTGTACAATCAACTTTAGATTTACCAAAACGATGTAATATGAGGACCTACCTAAACTATTCAAGTCAATCTATTGAATCAGGCCGGCCCTTGTACTAAATACTCGTGGTAGATCTAAAGGAGATTGTACAATCACATTGTAATGTGTGTCCCTTTAAGTTGATTGTACGGTCAGCCATATCTTCCCTTCTGTGACAGAGGGACTCACAGATCACAATGATGCACATCTGCAGTGACTTCACTGGAATTGTCGTTCATTCATAAATTCCACCAGGTCCATAACAGAAGGTGTGTACCTCCGCACCGACCCGAGGCTGGGGCAACAGTCTGCAGGAGCCAGAGCATTGCACCCACCGTCCACTGATAGCACGTTACCATGTGTTGTGGTGCGCTGCCAACACATGCGGTGGAGCTACATTGCCTTAGACCACGGCTGGGCAACCTCGGCACTCCGGCGGGGTTGAAACTACAATACCCATAAGGCACTGCAAGACAGAGTTCCAGAGTCAGATGCATGATGGGAGTTGCGGTTCCACCACCATAGACATGCCGCTGTTGCCTTCTCTTGGCCTAAGCTGGCCATACACTGTACTATTTTTTTTGTTCAGCCAAAATTATATCACAGATTCCTCTATCAGCACTAAGCAGTGTGGATGGAGGAATCGCCTGCTGTTGTCATTGCATTCTGGCATTGACTGATGTCAGAATACCCAAATGGCATCTGATTGGCTGCGAGCACCGGTCGGCCAAAAGATCTACCCTTGTGCATGTTTTTGTGTGCTGTGATTTCACGGTTCACTTTTTTTGTTCACAGGGGGAAGTTTGTTTAGACGCACGTTCCACGGGCTTAAAAAAAAACGGTCGGCCAAAAGATTTTCCAACCGGCTACTCTGATCTAAAAAAAAAAATGTGTATTCATTTGGCCCCCCACAACAGTCCCAGTTTCCCACGTGGCCCCTTGAGAAAATGAATTGCCCTCCCCTGGCATTGTGTATGGCCAGCTTTAGAGAGTTTGTGTGTCCTTAATAATGAATGCCACTGCAACGCCCCAATGTATGTAACATGAGTTGGGGTAACGCACTCTGGAAAAATGTCTTTCAGCCCTTAGGCCTCATTCACACGAGAAAAGGCTGGCACGTATAGCTCCGTGCACGGCCGTATCGGGCAGTTCCCCGGAAGGACAGGTGCTGCGTGTGATTAGTACGCAGCCCCTGTCCTTCTCTATGGGGCCACGCAGCCGTACACCGCCCTACGCTCACCCGCCCTGCACGTCCTTGCCCATGTGGGTGTCCGTACTGGTATGCTGACAGGATGGATCCTGCCTGCGTCCGAGCCAGGACACCCACATCTGTACGGACCAGCACTTGGGGTGAGCGTAGGGGGGCGTATGGCCGTGTACTCCCATAGAGAAGGAAAGGGGCTGCGTGTGATTAGTCACACGCAGCACCTGTCCATCCCGGGAGCTGCCCGATACGGCCGTGCACGCAGCACGGAGCTGTACGTGCCGGCCTTTTCTCGTGTGAATGAGGCCTAAAAGTTCCTTGAAAGTTTGTTGCAACATTTCCAAAAAAAACGGTAGGGTCCATGTACACACGCCTGCGTTACGGTAACACGTAGCAATGCACATTACATGCATTGACATTCCTTTTGAATGATGCTGTTTATTCTGAATGGCACCCTAATGCACTAAGGCAGCTAAGGGGTCACGTCCGATATATGGCACGTCATTCATTTCAATTGGCTGCCTGGAAGCAACGCATAGCGATGTCTCATAATGACCATTAACACACCACAAAGACGGGCCCTTAGAACAGTTCTCATTTACACTCCCAGTAAATGATTCATTCTCGTTAGCTTAGCAACTGTTAATACATCAGCCGGCAATCTTCTTTTAACTGAACATTAAAGGTGATTGCCCCAGCACTGTCACATGTGGGGAACGGAGAGTTCTCAGCCCTCGGTAAGCTCCCAGTAGTGATGAAGGGCAGCCACTCATCTGGCAACACGTTCTTGTTTCTGAAGTCCGCGGTGCGTGCAACAAAGACAAACTTCACCCCATAAACAAAAAAAGTGAATTGTGAAATCACAACACACACAAAAAGTGCACAAGGATGCTCTGGCCCCCCTCCAAACAGGAAGGGACACGATTCCCTAAACCCTTCCCCGGGGCGCAAGGTTCCTGACAGGGGTAAGGTAGCCCTGGTCCACCTAGACTAGGCCAGAAGGACACTGATCCTTAGGGACCTGCCAAAGCTGGTCCACCAAGTATCAGGTGAAGGGTCTCACGAAGAGAGTGGGGAGAAGTGAAGAAAACCCATAGAGGCCACAGAACCTTCTCCCTAACATCAGGTGGGCCCCGAAGGTACCCACATCCTCAGTTTTCTGTGGGGTCACAAAGTGCTCAGTCGTGCATAAAATTTGAATGAATAAATGTCAGTGCTAAGACATGGCAGGCCTTCCGGCCGAGATAAAATAAAGTTGCTCCAGGCTAGCCAAAAGGCCTACCCAAGAAGCGTGGTGCAGAAAAAGCTTCAGGTGCCATGACCTAGTGCCAGTGAAACACAGTGGGGTCCCAAACCCATAGGGGTCTATTCACAAGCAGGTGAAGAGTTTGGAGAAGGCAGGAGAAGTGAACAATCTAGGCCAAAATAGCCGATTCGGAGAAAATCTTCAATTCAGCTCACTTTCTAGTTCAGCTATTTTGTCCTAGATTGTTCACTTCTCCAGCCTTCTCCAAACTCTTCACCCTTTTGTAAATAGACCCCATAGTGATTTTTTGGCACCCATGGGACACCACTCCAGGCTGCCCCCAGGCCATGGCCAGATACAGTGGATCCACTCTCATCTAGAGGTACTGGGAACCTCCAGAACCCAGACACTAGGGAAGAACTCCCAACCCCACGTGAGTGGACGCTCAATTTCGTTTCCTTCCTACGACCAGGACCCATCATCTCAAGCAGGGTACTCTACAGCATTACACCATATTCCCCTCCTGAACACTGATACAATCTCAATACAAATTAAGAAACTAAACATGAGATTGTAGTCCATCCCGGGAGTGAGCTTGGAGCGGTGACTACTTTACAACACACACGGGGACCATGGGGAACACAAGTAGCCCCCCCTCCAGAAGGAAGGACAGTGTCAGCACCAATTCAGAGATGATTTGAGGATCTACAGCCGAGTGACACACAAATAAGATACATTGTTGTTCATAGTTCAGGTACTTGAATGTATTTTTAAGATTTAACTCCGGAGTTTAGTGTCACTTTAAGGATTCAACGTAAACCTCTCCCGGGAGGAATGTGAAGGCTGCCATTGCCGACCTCTCCCTCTAAAATGCTAGTTGCCTGGTTGTCACGCTTACTCTCTGACTTCAGTACTGACAACAATTATCCAGGTGAGAACGTTTGCTTTTCCTGATCTTGTTTTGTCAGATTTTGCTCACGTTTGAATACTCCAGGGTCAGCAAAGAAGCCGGGCAGGTGGCATGTTTAGAAGAAGGCCTTCAAAATGGCAGCAGTGGCGGAACTACCGCTGGTGCGGGCGCACCAGGGCCTCAGCCTGGGGGGGCCCAGCACAGTCCTGGCCTGTGCATAGACGGTTTCCAGCGGCCGGCAGGCACCGGCGCCGGCAGAAGTGTCGGATCATCTGTTCATCTGACACTCCCGGCGCAGAGATGGGTGGCCCGCCGGCTGCAGGATACTGATCAATATCCATTCCCCACACTCCGACGTGCTGAATGGGAAGGGGGCGGGGGCTAGGCGCACGTCCGCTTCAGGGTACCCAGATATCAAGGGGCCCGCCGGCCCCTGCGAGAAGGGAGCTGCGAGCCAAGGACAGATGAAGACGGCCCTGCAGGGTGCACTGCAGGCACATCGGACAGCTGTGAGGACCCCCAGCAAGCAGACACTGGGTTTTTCTGAGTCCCCCACCAGGAAACAACAGAAGACCAGCCAGAAGAGGTAAGTGTAAATAATTTATTAAAACAATTATTATTTGTAGCCTGATGTGTAAAGTTCAGCTGGTATTTGTAGTGCACTATAGCAGGTGCCATTCTGCATTGCAGCAATGCAGAATGGGACCCTCTATAGAGAGGACTACAAATCTCAGCAGTACTTTATACAGAAATGCTATTGTTATATAAAGTATTGCTGGGATGTGTAGTCC